CGGTGAAGTGAAATCACCTTTCGGTCAGCTGTGCAGTACCGGCTGCCGCTGCAGTTCAGAGGTACAACAAGTCAGCGCTCCAGGGGTTTAGTAGTCAAGCGACGGACATGCAAACTAACATCCAGGACCTGATCTATTTCAATGGGAACGTCTTCCCAGATTCTAGTGGTTTGGAGAGAGGAAACTCGACCGGACAGAACCCTGGTTAAATTCAGCAAATAGCGCTGGGTAAATTTACAAGGCGGCTAGGTTTGCCGGGGCTTCTCTGTACTGTTGCAAATAAGACTTGTAGCCCAGAATCCTTCACTTTAAGACGACCAATGCCCAGTTCATAGTTTCGATAGGATTTGTTTCCAAGTATAGATATTTAGTAATCAGTGTTATGCTCGCATCAATCACTGCACATTTAGTTTTAAGTTAAGCTTCGCTGAATAAAGTGAGACTTTCCCCCCTAAATAAAGCCATGACTGAAATTCTGTTGTTGTTTTGTTTTGCTTTCAAGTTATATTATAATTAAATTATCTGTTCCACCCAAGGAGCAGGGTCCCCCACTTCTCTCTCTCTCTTTCTTAAACTCTTCCCCTCTCTTTCCTTCAAAGAAACGGTTGAGGACAAACCGGGGTAAATAATCTGTCAGCGTGTTGTGCCCATTTATAATAAGCGCAATAAAAAATTTGGAGATTCTTAAGCAACAAGAATCCACACAAAATTTCGTTGCACGGATTTCATGCGGCCTCCTGCGCTCAAGAAAACCCCACAGCCGTCGGGAAAGGAGTCGCTTTGGCTAAGTCAGTAAAAGCGGCCGGTCTCTTCTCCTGCGGAAGCCGCAATCTTGCCGGCTTGTAAAGGACAAGCAAGCGCTTACTGGGACGCTGGAAAAGGACCGCTGCGACCGTAAAGTGGGACCGGCATTATGACTGGCGGGAGGAATTTTCGGGATTCCGGAATGGGATTTCCACATCTACCCCCACCCCCACGCAGCGCCCCAGCGGCAATGCCCGGCCTCAGCCCTGCTCTCGGAGCATCTTGCTCGCGGGGCTGCCTGGTGAGCGCTGCGGGCGGCCGGCCGCTCCTGGGGTCCTTTCCTCCCCAAGGCTTAATGGTCCTGACTAGCAATGCCCACAGACCCCAGCCCCGTCGTAGCAACGCCCAAGGAGCTGGGCTGGTGGGAACAGCCGCCGACTGCGCTCACATGAGTGCCAGTTATCCCCTTCTGCAACGTCCTCCCGCTTTGGGGGGGGGGGTGATGAAGGGGTCCCAAAGAATTGCCCGTGCGGCCCAAAAGCAAAAGAACTGCGAGGGGCTGGATCCTGCGTCTTCCCCGTCGGGGCGGGGGAGGGAAGAGAGGCGGGGTTGGGCGAGCGCGCTCCTTTGGCCCGGCTGCTTGCGTCGGGGTCCTCGCCGGGCTCCGGCGCCTCGCTCCCTGGACGCGGGTTCGCGTCCTCAATAGGCCCTCCAGCGGGAGCCTTTGATGCCGCCGCCGCTGGCGCCTCCAGACAACATCCCTTGTCTGCCCAGTAGAGGCACTGACTAATCGTGACAGATTGTTTATTCTCGCAATTAGCGACGCGGCCGCTTCTGGGGCGCCCGCGCAGACGCCCCTTGGACCGGGCCGGCCGCGCCGTCCAAGGGCAGCGGGAGAGGCGCGCGAGAAGCGGACCTCGCTGGGTTCCCACCAAAGGCGGGCAACGCAATCTGGCCGCCAGAAGCGGGATAAAAGAGGAGGAAAGGCGCGGCGTTTTGTGCTTGCGGCCAGGAGCCCCCCTCCAAAAAATCCTATCGATTTTACTCTTTGGTCCACGGGTCAGAGAAGCGAGCAGGCTCGTTCCTTTCGCGGAGAGCCCCAGGGTTCCGGCCTAAGTTCTTTCTGGAGATCCGCATGGTAGGCCCCAAGGGTGGGCGGGCGGAACTTTCCCCAAGGAGTCTAAGAAAGGACCCTGTGAGGAAAGGGACCAGAGTAGAAAGGGCTTTAGCAAACGAATCTTGGTCGGCATTAGGATCGGGCGGTCCTTCCAAGAAATGCGCAGACACACCGCAGTACAACTATTCGGGACAACATCCACCGTATACTAAAACGGGGAACTTTAAGTCGATTTCTCCCAAAAAGCAGACCACATCCTTGTGGAAGGAAATTCCACTCCTATCCAAGAACCTTTTCAATATGGGGTGAAGCCAGGACACGCAGGTGTGCTCGTGATTTATTGGTTTACTTGGTTTCATAGATTTCATAGAACCAATTTATTGGTTTCATAGATTTCTTGAGGCCTGCAACAAATGCATGCGCCTTAGAGAGGAATATGCTTCAGTCCAATAAATGGTTTAAGCGATCCAGATCTATTCTAGTCTTAAGATCTTGCGCACACGCAGAGCCACCTACCGCTTCCGGAACACCCTCCAAATCACAGCGTGCATTCTCAAGCGGGCACGCCCCCCCCCCTTCTGTGAATCCATGGATCACAAATCGCTCATCCCTCCCTAGAAGTAAATACTTTTAGGCTGCAGGCCTAGGGCCATTTACACGAAGCTCCGTGGGCCTTTTACCGAGTAAGATTTTGCCGTTAAACCCCAAGATGGTGCGTGGAGTTAAACATAAGCTTCCATTTTTCCGGGGTTAAGTTTAACTTTATCGTTCATCACTAAGCCCTAGGTTACTGTACCGCATTTATTTCAATGGCTCCTCTTTGAGCACCCGTTACACGGCTGACCCCCCTGTCGTGTTATTTATTGTTTCAATAACAGCAGCAACAGGAAAGAGCAGCGTCGTTATTCTTATTAAAGTATATGGAGACGGCGATAGAAAGAAATGTGTAACGTGTTCCAGGAGAGATGTGTGAATATGAGCAAGTTTGTTTTTCATCCGAAAAGAGGGTCTTCTCTTCATTGAGGGCTTTTTGTTGTTGTTTTGCGGGGCGGGGGGAGGAAGGAAGAGCCAGGCGCTCTAGGTACACCCTGGGAGTCCCGGGGGCAGAGCCAGGGTGGAGCAGCGGATAAGAGCGTTAGCTCCACCTCGGGAGATCTTTCTTCCTCCTCAGCCAGGAAACTTTGCGAGGCTTTACTCTCGACGAAACTGGCCCTCTTCGCAGGGCTGTTGTAAGAGGAATTTGGCGGGGGGAGGGATTCACATACGTGGCCATGAGCTCCTTGGAGGGAAATTTACATACAGGAAATATATTTATGCAGTAAATAATTAGCGACACTCGAGGTTGGGTCCTCCATCTACGGTAACGCAGTGCTGGGTCTGTCTGCGGGAGAACCTAGACGCAGCCTTAAGAACATTCCCGCTCCCTTTTCCTCGGCTCCTTCGCGTATTGACAAACCTAGCTTTGCTGTGACAGTCACCCATCCATCCCAGAATCTAAGCGCTCATAACCTCCCGTCTTCCTCGGGCCCCGTTCAAAAGGCAGGGGCTCCGCTGTCCCTCCCCGTTTAGATAATTGCCCTTAAATGACTGCAAGAAGCTCTTGTGTTTCGGCGAGATTAGAGCCCCGCAGCTATCAATAAACTTTTCCCAGCAAGCGGCCAATCCCATTATGAGAGAGAGCAGCGCCTTTTACTGCACATCCGTCCTGGCCGCGAGGATAAGGGATCGTAAAAGGCATTCACGAAACAAAATCTCCTTTTTAAGACCTTAATTGGTCGGGACTAGAGGTTAGACTTCCTTTAGGGTATTAACGCTCCAATCTCTAGGCACCTTTACAATGATTCTTTACCAAAGAATGATCCCGTCGCCACACTGTGTGCCTTATCCAGACAAACAGAGCTCCAGGAGAGATACACCAGATACAAATGAAGGCAGGGTTTGCCCCTCTTTTTGCCTCCTGCTTGTTTGCTTGTTTGTTAAATTGCTTTTTTGTAAGCCGATGGGGAAGACTAGCTCTACTGTATCTGCACTGAGACTGGGTCATACCGAGGGCAGATCGCATCCTCATCCAAATCCCTGCAAAATCAAGTGTAGCCCATCTAATGCTAATATGATTATAAATAAGCTTAAACCCTATACATACAATACATCGTATTTAATTCATTGGCTTATATATTGGACTCTCTGTGGTTTTTTGTTTGTTTGTTTTTGTCAGTTTGGGAGTTTATTGTGCTTAAGAAGAACTATTATTTCACAACCAGAGAGGTTGCCATTCCATCCACACTTGTTTGGAATGAGTCTCATTGCACTTACTTCCGAGTAAGCTACACGACGATGCAGCCAAATTTAATAGCTTTTTTCCACGTTGATTTCCCCTCCAAACGCGAAAGGCATGTGTAAACGTATCCCTTTGAAATCAGTGAGCATCGAAATGATTTTGGGCGGCGGGGGTGGGCAAATATTACATATTATTACAGCATTCTCTCTACCTCTCTATCTCTCTCTTACACACACACGAATGCAGCCCATATTCAAAGACGACTTATTTATTTTATTTCATATTTATTTCACAAACTCTATATACCGCTTGATTGTCGGGAGACACTTCAAAGAGAATAAAAACTCTAAATGGTTATCGTAGAACTAGATTGCACGCCGCTGATAGCACAGAGAAGGGGTAAAATGATTAGTCTATGATAATCTGAAGATGAGCATCGCTCGTCCCAAGCAAAGCTGCCGCCTGCAGCTCAGGCTCGCGGAATTTCCATTGCAGAGACGGAGCGAGCGGGACGGAAGGGAATCCAAGCAAAACAAACAACTCCTCGAGGTGAATCGACGGCGGCGCGAGGTGAATGGGAGCTGCCCAGAGGCGGAGAACGAAAGTCCGGCGCGCAATCGCTCCTGGCTAGTGCCGAGCAAAGTTTCTTCCCGGCTTGGCGGGCGCGCCGGGCAGAGCCGAGCGGAGGCGCGCCGGGCGATCCCGCCTCCTCTTCCTCCGCCTCCTGGTCCTCCTCGCGCGCTCTCTCGCGCGCCGCACCCAATGGGAAGGCAGCGGGACCCCCCTTCGGAGCGCGGATTGGCCGCCGTCGGGGGCGGCCTGGCTTTATTAGCCCGCCGGGCTGGGTCCCGCGCCTCGCCAAGCGGAGCCCTGACGAGCGAAGGCGCCGCGCAGCCGGGAGCGCGGGCGGGCCTGCCTCTGACTCCGCGCCCACCTCCATGAGCGACGGCTGCGAGAGCTGGGGCGCCGGCGGGGGGACGGGGGGAGCCGCATGGCCCCGGCGCTGGAAATGACTTCTGCTCAGAGCGCGGCGGGGAGCGAGGAGCCACCCGCGCCGCCTTTCGGCAAGCCCGGCCCGACGGGGCCCCCGGGGGCCACCAGGGGCCGGGAGGAGGGCGGCGGCGGCGGCGACAAGCCTAAGGCGGCTCCGGCTCTGCTCCCCTTCAGCGTCGAGGCGCTCATGGCCGACCGCAGAAAGCCCGGCAGCCTGCCCGGCGGGCCCGAGCGGGGGGAGCCGTCGGCGCACCCGAGGCCCCTCAGTCCCAGGAGGGGGGCGCCCTCTCCCGCGGCGCCGGAGAGACCGGCCTCGGCGCTGGCCATCGCCACCCATTTTGCTGTCGGGGGATTAGTCCCGGTGCCCGAAGAGGCGCTCGCCAAAGCCGAAAGCCCCGAGAAGCCGGAGCGGACGCCCTGGATGCAAAGCCCCCGCTTCTCTCCGCCGCCGCCAAGTAAGTGAGCAGCCGGGAAGCGCACGTGGACTTGGCCGGGAGGCGAGTAGCCAAAGCGCTGCGCTTGAGGATGGGGAAGCCGGTCTCGGCTGTCACTTAAGACAAGGGGACTTTTTACTTTCCAGTAAATGCATGTGTTGAGCGCCGGAGAGATGTTCCAGGTTGCTGCTTCCGCTCGTGGAACTTGAGTTGCTAGTTAAACAAAATACAAAACAAACCAACCAACCAACCGGCCACCAACTCAAAGCGCGTAGGTGCCCGGCCTTGATTCCTAGCACGAATGGGGCAGGCACGCTCAAAAGGTGTTTACTTGGAAGTAAGGAGCACCGGTTTCTAACAGGATCGGCTTCCCCTTGCTTAAACCAATCCTTGGTCTCAAGAGGCCTTGCTTCCAAGTCAGGGATTAGTCGGATAGCGGCGTTTTAGCCAAATTGAAGCCGAGAGCGTCGAGCAGCCCGGAAGCTGAGATCGAGGCGACCTTTTTAAAATATGCTTAGAACCAGAGCAGCTTCCATGCAGCTCCTGCCTGCCTTCCGCTGCTGCTTGACTTGGCCGTGAAGCAGCGGCAAGCTGCCTCCAGCCCGAATGCGGCCAAAGGGGAGCCCGGGAGTTGCCTTCATTGCAGATCGTGTCGCTCCTGTAGGGGGGACCGTCTCACTTTCCCCGCAATCTTAACTCCCCGCTGCCTTGAAGCTGGGACTCTCGGTGGAGAGGGGCCTTTTCGGACAGCTAAAGCTGTTGGTAAACATTGCTGGCCGGATCCTGCCAACTGACAATTGCCCAGAGAGCCCAGGGTCCCAGGGAAGGTCTCCTTCAGTGAGTTGGGAATGAAAGGTCACTGGTTCCTTGGACCTGGTTTCTGAACCAGTCACCACTTTCCAGTGGGAGGGGGCGGGATGCCTGGGACTTCCGGGTTTCAGGGCCTTTTCCGCCACCAAGGAGCCCGTTTCTGGGCTGAGAGAGACAGACAGACAACCTGGGTAAGGACATTTAAAAACATTGCGGTTTGCACACCATCTGGAGAACCAGAAAATCGCTACGAGCACATTCGTGCTTTTTAAATAAAAAAAAATGCTAAACAAATAGGAAAACGTAATAAGGAAATCCGATGAGTTTCGGCTGCTTATTTCTACTGCGCTTCTCGTTAATGGTCCTTAAATTGCGCTGTTGGGAAACAGAATCAATTACAGCGGAATCCTTTCCATCACCACTGAGAAGTCCCACCGAGTTCATTTGGGAAGACTCCCACGTATAGGGTTTCAGCCTTATTTTCCCTGTGAGACCTTCCACAACATCCTGTGGTCCAGGAAACTTAGCTGCCAACTCAAAGTAGTTGACTTTTCTCAGCAAACTTTTTAGGATCGAAGGTGGCGGAGTCCATGTAGACCCAGCCCTGCCGCATAATCCGCCTAAACCTCAGTGTTTCGTTTTAAAGAAAGTTGATTTGTTTCCGGATCGGCCTGAGCAGGAGAGGAATTAGCGGGGACTTTTCTGCCTCCTTTTCTCTCCCGCGGATTAAAACAAGAGTATTTTAGCAGTTTAAAATAGTTTAAGGGCGCTATTTTAATGTGCTCTAACTCCTACTTGTGTCCGTGGAAATTCCTTTCAGTCAGTGAGTAGGAGAATCCGGGCAGAGGTGGCTTTGGAGAAAATGCCCACAACATTTCTAGCGATGCTAAATTCCACTACAATAGATCGCTCTGATTTGAACCGTTTCTAAAATGTCCAGCAGCCTCACTTTTGGAGTTAGGTGTTTGTTCCTTGAAAAGTCATCTCTTGGACTTCCTACCGATATGTAAAAAGTGAAAAGCAACTGAAAGTAACAAAACAGGCTTCTCTGGTATTTTTTGTTCAGGGCTCATGTCGTTTTGGATTAATTAGGAGTCTCTTTCCGGCTGGATTCCCAACCCCTGTAATTGCAATTTATTTTTAAAATGTTGCCCAGATACCAGGAAGTAATAAGGTTTTGTTTTTTGTTTTTAAAAAAGCAATCTTCCAAATAATTGCAAACGGAATGTGAAAAGAGAATCTATCCCATATTGTAATTGTCGTCCTGCTATGGCTTCCCCCGTGCAATGCACGGAATCTAGAAGGGACGGGGTTGGGGAAGAGTTATGTGAGTATATCTTCAAAGACTATCGAAATTAAACATATTAGGAAGAATATATTCTCCAGGTCAGCTTAGCGTACCTACCTAACTTAAAATGAGCCAAATCTACCGGGAAAATCTTGCAACAAAGATACTCAGGCATTCCCGAGGCCTGCGCTGGTGAACTGTGGCTCTTTCCCTTCAAGGGGGGTTTGCTGGGAGAGCTTCCCGTTGGAATGTTTCCAAAGGATTTCATCACAGCTGGCAGCCCCGGCCGGTAGTGATGAGTCGCAGTGGGAATTACTCCCAAGTAAAGGTACCTACGACTACAGTAGCTCCAGTGTCTTCTCTGCTAATGGAAACACTGAAAGCGATCTACAACTTTTGTGAGTGTTAGCTTCACGATAGAAATGCTTCACTTGGATTCAACTTGACTTGAGGCTATGATTTAAAACAATTAACTTGAATCCATTAAACCTGCCAGGCTTTATTTTCAAGTAAATGTGTTTAGCAGTCTAAATTCTTCCGCTCAAAAGGGTGTGGGTCGGAATGCCGAGAGTCGTTCTTAAAACAGGCCATAAAAGGAGCAAGCGGCGTCCTCACGGACTCCCTAATTAATGACATGCGCACTCTGTTTCCCAAGAGGGCCATAAACGGGATGTGAGTGACAGGACCTGCCCTTTTCATTTTTTAATTTTTTCCCCTTTAGTTCAATAATTTATGGTTTCCTTCCTCCCCCAACCCCGCTTTCCCCTTCTTATGAACTGCCCCAATACTTTATTTTTCTATCTGGAGCACTAATAAATGCACCCAACCTCTTAAAGAAAACGCACCATTTTGGGAGCCCCGCGCGTCTTCCCCCACGGATAAGCCTTTGGGAGGGGTTGGCTGTGGTGGCGGCGTGGCTTCGCGTGACACCCCGGCGCCTCTTGGAAGGCTGCAATCCTATTCGCTTACGTGGGAACAAGGCCTTTTAAAGCGAGTGGGTGGGATCAGGCTGATTTGGGCTGTCAGAACGACCTCTCTCTCTCTCTCTCTCTCTCATCCAGCTAAAAGTCACCTCCTTATTTAAATCTGTACAATTCGGGGGGTTTCCAGCATCCCATTTGTTCAGTTGCAAAATGTCCCCCTGGCTGTAAGTCGACTTGGCTTTCCTATCCGGGAACAGCTCCGCTTCAGTAAAATGCAAGGTCCAGTCCGTTTGAAAGTCCTTCTGCATTTTAACGCGGCTCGCTCTTAAGTGTGTTCAGGATTGTACCACCATACATCCTCCAGGTTCAGACTCCAGTTACTCTGAATCATTGTTACTCCGCTCAGCTGAATTTAGAACCCAGCACTTGATATATTCTAATCTGGAAAATCCCGAAGAAATTGCCCTTGCAGCTTAAATAACCAGAAGCACTGTATTTAATACCAATTTGGCCCATGAATTTCAATAGAGCAAAATTGCCTTACTGTGGTTTAACTAGATGACGGTTTAACCGGAGCAAGCTGTCAAACGAGATCCGCCTTACAGCCGGTTTCTAAAATACGTTTACTCTGAATTAAATCCTACTGAGTTCAGCCAGCGATGCTTATTTCCTGATAAATTTGCCCAGGTTGCGGGTCCTCTTCCGCTGAGGCGACCCTGCCAACGGCTTTTGGGCTTGCGGGGTGAGCAGGTGGTCTGATCCTGCGCGCCAGCCGGGCTCCTTCGCCTTTTGCCCGGGGGGGGGGGGCGGCTCGGCGCGCCGGGGTGTCTTTGGGAAGGGCCTTACCGGGTGTCGCTCGCTGTCTCCGCAGGGCGCGCCAGCCCGCCGGCCTGCACCCTGCGCAAGCACAAGACCAACCGCAAGCCGCGGACGCCCTTCACGACGGCGCAGCTGCTGGCGCTGGAGAGGAAGTTCCGCCAGAAGCAGTACTTGTCCATCGCGGAGCGCGCCGAGTTCTCCAGCTCGCTGAGCCTCACCGAGACGCAGGTCAAGATCTGGTTCCAGAACCGGCGCGCCAAGGCCAAGCGGCTGCAGGAGGCCGAGCTGGAGAAGCTGAAGATGGCAGCCAAGCCCATGCTGCCGCCCGCCGCCTTCGGCATCTCCTTCCCCTTGGGCGGCCCGGCGGTGGCGGGCGCCTCTCTGTACGCCTCCTCGGCGCCCTTCCCGCGAGCCGGCCTGCCCGTCACCCCCGTGGGACTCTACGCGGCGCACGTGGGCTACAGCATGTACCATCTCACCTAGAACCCCGTGGGCGAGCCCGGGGGCTCCTCCACCCCAGAGGATCGGGTCTTGTCAGCCCTGGGTCCCTCGAAGGACAGGCACCGGCCAGCAGGGAAGGAAGGAGAGCTGGTCCGCTGGACTCGCCCAGGTAAAGCCTCTCTCGAAGGACCGGAATACTCCGCAGGCTTGGGCTGCCCCTTTGGACGCAGGAGTCAGACTGTGGACACCCCGCCCCCCCAAATCCCTCCAGGCCCCAGGACTGCACTTGCTGCTCTTTGCCGCTTGTTCTTCCACCAAGCCCCGCGGAAGGGCTCTGCGTACTGTGTAATATACTGTACAGTTGAAAATTTATTATCGTTTATATTAATAGCTATATTTGATAAATAAATTAATTTTAAATGACCTTGGGGTGAATGGTTGGACATTGCCTTCTGTCCTGGAAGGTCTGCAAGGTTTCATTCCATCCAAGCCCTCTGAATCTGGGGCTCCTGTTGATTATTTTTATCATTACTTCTCAAATCTGGCTCTTAGGCCCCCACTCCCCACCCCCGCATTTAATTGCAGGTTGTGCAGAACTTCGTGTGGATTGTCCTCACTTATTTGAAGAAGTTCAACTGATTTTAAAGAACTTACTTGGAAGTAAAGTGCCTAGGTTTGCAGTGCAAAGACCTAGATTTCTCTGGTCTGAAGAAGACCAAAGGTGGTGTATTTTCATAGGTCCCCAAATCTACTGCTTAATTGGAAAGTAAGCCTTGTTGCCAGCAGTGGGAAGCGACTTCCCTTTCTGTCCTTCCAAGAATATATATCTACCATTGGGTTTCTCCTTTTCAGAACAAAACAAATTTCACAAAGGCCTCCCCAGGCACCCAAGCATTCCTATTTCAGAGCACAGTCTTGGATCTGAGTAAGTAATGTGGATGAAAAAGCTGTGCAAATCTGATCTCATCAGAAAAGCTTCCTATCTAGCGATATAAACCGAGCTGAGCTGCGCAAACTTCAGTGATCATTATTGTGACACCTACTGCGTTGGGAAAGCATCAGTACTGCAATCCTGTGCCTAATGACTTGAAAGTTACTTACTCTGAAGTAACTATACCTAGCATTGCAACCTTGCATTCGAATCCTTGCCACAATAACTTGAGTAAATCCATTTATTTCAATTGGAAATGTTTGAGAATTAGCCTCACTTTTTAGATTTTTTTTTCTATTCAGGCGTTAGGGGAATCGTGCTAGGTGTTGTGGCAGGGCGTAAGCAGTACATAAATGCAAGTAAGTTCAAAATGGAATTCATGCACTGAAACTTGTTCAGGACCCAGAGTTCCGTACAAATATTAAAACTCCTGGAGTGCTGAAGGGGGTGTCGCCATAGCTGGAGTTGCAACCTGGAGTTGCAGCCTATCCGCAACGTAGGCTGCTATGCTGTGGACATTTACAGGGGAGCAATGGTTCAATCGGTTGGGGGTTTTTTTTTGTGTGTGTGTTTTTGTTAGGTCATTCGGAGTAAACACGCATCCACTAACCTCTCCGTACTTAACTCCCTTCCCACCCACCCACTTTGCAGCCAGGCTCTTATCTATGCATGCTTGCTCAGAAACAAGTCCAGTTGCGCTTCTGGGCCCCCGCCAACCCAAATTCGCGGGCAGACGGCTGCAGTTGCAGCAGCTTCCCTGGAAATCCGTTCCCCGCACTTTCTGCTGGCGCCGCAGGTGAGTAGCTTGTTTGGCTTTCAGGTGACTGCAGACGGGGCTGCTGGCCGGCAAGCGGGTGGGCGAGAGACTGGGCCCCGGCCACGGACTGGACTCGGGGGCTGCTCTAGGGGGCGGGCGGGGAAGGGGAGGCGGCCATGCACAGGAGCTCCGGCCCCGGGATCGGCTTTCTCCTGCGCCCGGCGCCGGCAGGGCTCGCGGCCTCCTGCTTTCCGGGCTCCGCGCGGCTGCCACGGGGGGGAAAGAAAGCCCCCACCTTCGCCAAACGCGGCTGGAGATCCGAAAGAGATTCGGCTCCAAGCAGCAGGGAGCGCGGAGGGGGGACGGGGGACTCCGGGGCGGATCCTCCGCCTTCCCACGCGGGGGCTGGTGGCGTCGTGGGCGCTTCTCCCCTCCGCGATCCTGCGCGCCCTGGGTGCTGCCTGCGGGTCGAGAAGAAGCAGGATCCGCCGGGCCTCGTGGGCTTCAAGGGCCCCCGCTCGCCCCTCGAACCAGCGCGCCAGCCTCGCCTTCCCTGCCGGCTGCTGCTCGCTCTCTCGTCTCCTCCCGGCTCACCCGGGCAGGAAAAGCTCCGGGCGGCGCTCCCTCCTCCGGCCTTCTGGCCGGGGCTCGCCGGCTGGGGTCGCCTCCGGCTGGCGCGGCTCCGGGAGAGGAGAGGCCGGCGGGCGGGCGGACGAAGAGCGCTCGGCCTTCCCTCAGCCCGGAGCCCCCTCGGCTGCTCCCCTCGGCCCGCCCGAGGACGATTAATAACGGGCAGGACAATACGTCGGGCGCTGCCGTCACACGCCCCAGCGCCCCGGCTGAATGGCCAGGCCGGCACAAAAGGCCCTCGCCGGCGAAGCGAGCCGCGCTTTGGTGTCTTTGTGGCCTCGGGGGCGGCGGGGGCTGAGCAGGGCCGCTTCCCTTTTAAGCGGGCGGCGCCGGCGCCACGCAGCCCCGGCCAGGTTGGCTTCCTTTCCGGGGCCCCGCCGGCTGCCTGCCGCGCTCCCAATCCGAACAGCTCAGGGGCGCCAGGTCTCCGTAGAAACATCGGGGCTATTAAAGGTGGGGCGGGCGAGCGAGGCCCGCATTCCCACGTAGTGTTCCCGTGCCCCTGGGGTGGGTTATTTTATCAGTTACTTAATAAATAATAATGATAATACTAGATGGGTGGCGGGCCGACGGCTGCCTCCCTCTTGCAGGCCCCGGCCAGGGCAACGGGATGGTCCCGCCCAGCTCAGGAAGCAGTTTTCCTCCTTCATAGCAACTTCTTTAGAGGCCCGGGATGGCGAGAAGGGTGATCTGCAGTGGATCGGGAAGGATTTCTGGCCCTCATTGTTTTAAGCAGCAGAGATAATAAAGCAACCAACCCCCGACTTCCCTAAACTAGCTGCTTAAAATGATGCAAACTTGGGGTGACTGAGAATAGGTTTTGGGGGTGAAGCACTGCAGGTTCCCTTGAGTCTGATACTGAAAACAAACCTCTTTGCTTAGTAACTGCTCAGAGGCACCTTGTTCTTTCATGCTAATCCTGTTCTTTCATTCTAACTGTTTGCCTTCTAAGGACCTTCTCAGGAGCCTCCTGGACCAAGCCAGGGGCCCGTCTAGTCCAGCACCCCGTTCTCAAAACAGCCCACCTACCCGATGATGCTTAGGGGAAATGCGCAAGCAGGACCGCGGCACAAAAGCACCCTCCCCTTGTGCAGCTGGTATTCAGAAGCATTGCTGCTTCCATCCCTGAAGCAGAGCCATCGTGGCAAGTAGAAGTAGATGGCAAGTTCCATAGTTTAACTATGTCCTGTGTTCTTTTATCTTGCTCATTCTTCCAACATTCACCTTCACTGGGTGCCCAGGAGTTCTTAGTGTTATAGGAGAGGGGGGGAAGCTTTTCTCTATCCACTTTCCCCATGCCTTGCATTATGTTATAAACTATTATCACCCCGCCTTTTCTCTAAACTATAAAGTCTCAAACGCTGCAAGCTTCCTTAAGGGCGGCAGGGGGGTTGCCCCCCCCCCTTTATCATTTTCAATGTCCCTTTCATAACTTTTGCTTACTCTACAGTATCATTTTTGAGACGAGGGGACCAGAACAGTTTCTAAATGGTATTGCAGCAAAGATTTGTATAATGACATTAGGCTATTGGCAGCTTTATTTTCAATTCCTTTCCTAACGAGTCCTTGCATGTAATTTGCCTTTTGATGAGGTATCTTTTATGACTCCCAAGGTCTCATTTCTGGTCTATCAGTCTACCAGTTCAGGACCCCATGAATGATGTGCAGTTAAGACTTTTTTTGCCTGGATATGCGTCTGGTAGATCTTGGGGTTGTAGTAAAACACAGAACCCCTTAAAGCTTGAAGCTAGACCTCCTCTGCTGAAACTGTGATTGGCAGTAGAGTTGAGACAGTGGAGGAGACAAAGGGGAGCATTTATTTGCCCAATATGTGCTGGATGGTGGAATTCACTGCCACAAGATGTGGTGATGGCTGCTAAAATTGGCAGTGGTTGGGGAGGAGGGGAGGGGGCTCTCCACGTGTTCTAAGCAGAACAATCAGTTGGATGCATAGAGGCAGTAAAGGAGGGTAGGAGAGCAATGCCTTTATACCCCTGCTTGCGTTTGCATTTTCCAAAAGCGTATGACCAGCTGCCGCTGGAAGCAGGATATTGGGCTAATCGTACGCTGGACCAAGGCTTTTTTATTATGTTCATATATGGACTTCCTTCCCTCCCCTCCATAGCACCCCACTTCCAAGTGCTAGCAACTTTAAGGGAGCCGGTGAAGCAGCAGCCAATCAGAGATGTTTGTGTTGCAAGTGGCGGGTGCGTTTGAAACACTTGGATCACTTGCAGCTGCACCCAGAGCTGGAAGTCACGCTGCAGACAGCAGACTCCGTTTGGCGCAAAAAAGAGGAGCATGTGTGGAGAGATCTGAAGATGAAGGCCACCCAGCTTTGCATTTTAAAATAAAATATCTGAACTCCTGGCTTTTGATCAGCTGTGCTCCTTTTCAGGGAAACTATTCTTTGGAAAATGATTTTTGAAATCCATCTTTCAGTGTGACATTTCCTTCTTTCAGAAAGGCAAGAATTACTCCCCTCCCTGGAAGCACTCGGGAAGCGCTGTGTTGCTACATAGCCGATTGAAAGCAAGCTGCAATAATGTCTTTTTAGCAGCTGACTCTGACCTAGAGTTAGGGCTGTACCACTTCAGACTGAATGTGGCAGTTCACATTATGGATTACTCCACACACAAAACTTACCCTGCGTACAGAAAACTTAGTGCCGGGAGCTCAGCAGAATTCTAGTCTGCGCTTCCTCTTGATATCCTAGCTTTCTATGTGCAACAAGTTATTGTAGTAGTAAAAATTATTATTACCAATAATAAAAGTAATGGCATTATTGTTATTAGGAGCAACGGATCACATAAGCCCCTACCTTCAGTCTGAGCGGTACAGCATCAGCCTGGGTCTACAACGGACTTGAGTGGGGCTCAAACTGCACTTTCCATTTAGTCTGTTAAGTCTATCCCTGGCTTAAAAAACAGAACAAACCCCACACACTCCTGAAAAAGAAGCTTCTGCTGCTGCAGGGCAGGGGCTGTTCCTGCCATTGGTTCCTCTAAAACTCACCTTCCCCAAGAGGTGTTTCTCCTTCCAGTGAACACAATATGAAGGCTTTGCATCTTTTCTCCCACAGGTAGGGGAACAGCTTGGGGAAAACCATTACAGGGAAATTCACTAGTAGGGAAAAGTCTTAAAGGACCTATAGGCTCGTCTTCTGCAGCTAACCACAGCCTCTGAAGCTGCTTTTCAATTTATTTATTTATTTATTTATTTTTAAAGTCTGAGAAAGGAGACACAGATCAGTGTCATTCAAGGGTGCTTCCTACTGCCAGGTAGGAGTTTATTGTGGAAATGGTGCTGCTTATGTATATATAAGATTCTTTTGCAGAGTCTGCATATGCTGTCACCATCAAAATGACAGCCCCTGCTTTTTGCAAGTTAATCTGTATTTCCTTGTACCATGTGAAATCTAAGGAATCTGTAGACACTGTTGGTATGGAAGCTCCAGCTCATTAACATTTTTCGGGGGGATGGGTGGGTGCGGTGATGTTGAAACAGGTCGTATGTCCATCTGCTCCTCATGCCAGCACAATCTAGTCACATAGTTCCCATTGACCCAGATTATTTCTGCTGAAGACCCATTCAAATTTCAAGAAGCTGGTTAGGAGCAGCGGCCATCTCAAAATCACCACCTTGGAGACTAATCACTAATTTTGGGGGGGTTTTGGCCGGGTGTGTGTATGTTGATAAAGGTCAATCAATATTCTGTTATATGGTCACATACAGAGGTTTTGCACAAGAGACCAGTATTAAAAAGAAATGGAAGTGCCTTCATTCCACAAGAGCACAAACCTCTCTTTTGCCCATTGTGAAGCGTAAGAATAGTGTGAACATTCACTCTTTTGCACGTCTGCATTTTTAAAAAAAGTGTGCATACAGGTTGAGACATACCCAGAGCAGTAAACAGTGGGGTTGAGGGGAGGTACAACCCCCCCACCTCTGAATATATTTCCTGAAGCTCCACCCACCAATTTGATTGGCAAGCCATAGAATAGCAGTGAATGAATGAAAATATCCATGACCGGAAAATGGGAAGGTGTGGAAATGAGCTTGCCAAACGAAGATACAGTATGTAAACACTGGATGTGAAGGACCCATCTGCACTGGAACCATCCGGAATCTATGAAATAGGTTAAAGGCTTCTTGTTTTCATAGCTGAAGCTAGTCAAATTTTGATGTGCATGTTAGAGAGTCACACTTGATTATTATTATTTTTGCCTCATGCTTGTACCCCTTCCTGGGGTTCATCTCTACTGTTTCATTTTCAGTTTCTCTTTTTGCACATTTCTCAGGCTCCCTGTCTTTTATTTGCCCTTGGACGGCCATCTGCCCTACCCTTGAAACTTAGGCCAAGAGCTCATGGGAACAGCAAACTTTTTACAAAAGGCAAAGCTCCATAAACACTTAAGGTGCTATTTACTAATATTAATAAAAGGTAAAGTGACCCCTGACCATTAGGTCCAGTCGTGACCGACTCTGGGGTTGTGACGCTCATCTTGCTTTACTGGCCAAGGGAGCCAGCATACAGCTTCCAGGTCATGTGGCCAGCATGACTAAGCCGCTTCTGGCGAACCAGAGCAGCGCACGGAAACGCTGTTTACCTTCCCGCCGGAACAGTACCTATTTATCTACTTGCACTTTGACGTGCTTTTGAACTGCTAGGTGGGCAGGAGCAGGGACCGAGCAACGGGGGCTCACCCCGTCGCGGGGATTCAAACCGCCGACCTTCTGATCGGCAAGTCCTAGGCTCTGTGGTTTAACCCACAGAGCCACCTGGTCCCTCACTAATATTAATATTAATACTAACAAAATAATTAATAAACAGAATAGAATCAGAATTGTGGAGTTGGGAGGGACCCTGAGGGTCATCTAGTCCAACCCCCCTGCAGTGCAAGAATCTCAGATAAAGCATCCATGACAGATGGCCATCCAGCCTCTGCTTAAACTCCTCCAATGAAGGAGAATCCACAGCCTCCCAAGGAATCTCCTTTCTTGTAACTTGAATCCATTGGTTCAGATCTTCCCTTCTGGAGCAGGAGAAAAGAAGCTTGCTCCATCTTCCATGTGGCAGCCCTTTAGCTATTTGAAGATGGTTCCTCGTGTATCATTTGAAGATGGCTCCTCTTTTCCAGGCTAAACATCCCCAACTCCCTCAACCATTCCTCATCAGGCTTGGTTTCCAGACCCTTGCCCTTGATCACCTTGGTTGCCCTCCTCTGCACATGTTCCAGCTTGTCAATGTCCTTCTTAAATTGTGTCCAGAACTGGAAACAGTACTCCAGGTGTGGTCTGACTAAAGCAGAAAAGGTTGGTACTATTACTTCCCTTAATCTGGACATTATACTTGATGCAGCCTAGAAGAGCTTTTTTTTGCTGCTGCATCACACTATATAACATAATGCAGAGCTTTGGGGGTCATTTTGGTGAGTATGAATTCAAATAGTAGCAAATGCAACCACAGCACCCACAGGATGATGATAAACCTCCAGCTCACCGTTGTGCTGCTTGGTCTCTGCCTCTATTCTGGTGCCATTTCAGCTCCATCTGCTGTACAGCTTGAGTATATTACCTTTGTCTTAAACACTTTTCAAAGTAATGGAGAGAGAGAATAGCTTTCAGTGCCATTTCTGAACCTGGCTCAGAAGTCCTAAAGCAGAAGGGGTTTTTTGTGGGGGTGGGAAGCAGTGTTCACAGCTCTCTTGAAGTTAATGGCAGTTCCCTGATCCAGATTGTTTTACAGCTCTATAAATCAGGCTGAGAAAGCAACCAGAAGCACCGCTGGCTTGTTGCTTCTTTTAGCACATCCGTTTCTTGTAAAATTCAGATTAGAGGAACCAGCCCTGGCAGAATTGCTTCCCTCTGAACCCAAGGGGGCCATAAATCAAAGAAAAGGAAGTCACCAGGCAACTGAGACCCCTGGCTTAATTTCTTTAATTATCTTTAATGAACTCAAGAAAATGTGTGATGCCTTTGGCCTTGGCCTGTCTCACCAACAACTTGTTAAAGGGTTCGAATGGAAGGGGATTTCTGGAGTATATCTTTAATAACTATATATAGGATCAGGATGATAGCCCTGTTCCAAGTCCAGCCCTTCTCCCTACTAATTAATGTAAGTCCCAGTTAAATCCCAGCAGTTTAGTAGGTGGTGGCTCATCGGTGAGGTTGGTCTCTCTTCCCATCTGCTGCCCTTAAGAGTGCCACAAATCTGCTTCCTTCGCTGGCTCCCTCACATTGTATCTGTGATTAACTGCAGTTGGACTTAGATCCTATAACCTGATCATGGAAGTTGTTCTAGTCATAGCAAAAAGATGGTAAAAATAAAGGGAATATCTGCCAGGGGAATCATGCATGATTTGGGGGAAGTGACAGAAATAAGTTATTCTGTTCTCATAATGGTAGGATTCAGGGTCACACACTGAAATGTGATTGGCAGTAGATTCAGGGCAGACAGGGCATAATTGGTTTATGGCAGGCATGTCCAAAGTCCATTTTGGGGGCCTAATCTGGCCTGCCGGTAGGTAAAATCCGGCCTCTGTGGCACTTTATTTCCTGGGGTAAAATCCTAAAAAAACCTTAACTTCAATCCTAAAAGAAGCTCAACAACTCTAACCCTAAAAAAAGATCAACAACTTCAATCCTAAAAAAAGGTCAACAATGGTTGGCCCCCACAGCCCTTCACTTCATCAAATCTGGCCCTCTTTGAAAAAAGTTTGGACACCACTGGTATGAGAATTGCTGTGACAAGGTGTGGTGATGGTGACCACTAGCTTTGATTGCTTTAAAAGGAGAATAGACACATTCATGGAATAGCAATTGCTATTTAAGCCATGAGAGCTAAATGGAACCTCCATGTTCAGAGACAGTAGATCTCTAAATACCAGTTGCTTGTGCGCAAACAGTGGGGTGGGAAGGGAGTTTTTATTTGCCAGGAGCCCCTGATTGGCACTGCCAGAAACAGAACCCTATTTTAGATAGACCTTTAATCTAATCCACCAAGGTTCTTTATTCCTGGTGTCACTGCATGGAATGCATGTCTTCCCCATTAAGGTTCCCTCCTGCATTCTGTTTACAATCTTCAAGGGAGAAAGGAGATTCCGACTAAACATTAGGAATAACTTTCTGACTGTAACAGCTGACTGACGGCGGAATGGACTTCCTTGGAGGTTTTTAAGCAGAGGTTGGATGGTCATCTGTCAGGCATGCTTTAATTGTGATTCCTGCATCTCAGGGGGTTGGACTAGATGACCCTCAGGGTCCCTTCCAACTCTACAATTCTATGAGTCTGTGCAGCCGAAAAGTGTTGACATTAATAGATGAGAGTTGTGGTAACCACAAAGTCTGTTAAAGTACAAAAGCCTTTAGA